ATCCATAATAGATCAGCCTTGAGTGTTCTCAACAAGCTGAGATCGATTTAGGACTCTGGGTTTTCACTATAATGATGGAGGACAAATGTAAAATATGACTTAATATTTTATTGAGGTTTTTGTATGCATAGGTCTCATCAATATCGATATAATCATATATATATAATTTATTATACATCTACTATGCAAATAAATATACATATAGTATAATATAATAGTGTGGACAATTATGGACTTTTACTATCTAGTCTTCCCGAGCCATAAGGAAGACTAGTTGGTCAATTCCTAGGGGGTATAGCATTGAACAGTGTCAATGCACCATCTCCATGGTCTCCACCTCTTCTTATCTCTTCAATTAGTCCAATTCCAACATGTATCCTATACTAGTTGGCACGCAGGCCTAAATGAAATTGGACTCGCAGGCCCATAGTAACAATAATAATAATGGACTCGGAGTCCAAAATAATAACAATAATAACGGGCTCACAGGCCCAAAACAATTAAAAGCTCGCAGGCCCATAAAACGACAAAATTAAAAATTAACCATTCAACATATCCATATGGTCGAGTCCATAATCGTCCATTAATAATACATTCATCACATAAATGTATACCTATATAATATCTAATATTATATGCAAATAAATTTCAAGTTTCTAGCAATTAAGTCGTCTAAACTCTTTTAGACAAATGGATCGGAATAATTAAATACTCAATTAATCATATTAATTGATTATTCAATAAGCGGGCATGTTTAATTAAAATCAAATTTTAATTAAATACCGAATTAAAGTCCAACTCTAATTCAAAAATTATATGACGAGATTATTTAATTAAAATCAAATTTTAATTAAAAGTCAAATTAGAGTCAAACTCTAATTTCATAATTTAAGGTGGTGGAATTTAATTAAAATCAAAATTTAATTAAATGGTAAAGCTAGAGTCTAACTCCATATCTAAGATTTTAGGGCGAACATGTTTAATCAAAATCAAATTTTAATTAAACATCAAATTAGGGTCTAATTCTAATTGGAACAAATTATAGGGTGAATTAAAATCTAATTTTAATTAAATAACAAATTAGAGTCAAACTCTAATTCCAAGAAGAAATTTAGGACATGACAATTTAATTAAAATCAAAATTTAATTAGACGTCAAATTAAAATCCAATTCTAATTTCTATAATATCTTCGAATGAAAAATTAATTAAAATCGAATTCTAATTAAGTCCTAAATTAGAGTCCAACTCTAATTTAAATTGAATCAATATTTTAAATTAGGATAACACTCTTAAATAAAATAAAATTCAATTGGGGTCAAAGTTTAATATTTAAGTCAAAATCCAATTTTAACGAAAATATAAAATGTCGTCAATTTTAAATAAAATTTTAATTTGGGTCAAAATAAATTATAGGTCGAACCCAATTAAAATATAATTTTAAAACTATTTTATATTCTAATTCAAAACAAATTTTAAAACTTGGAATTTTGACCCATTCACTAATTATCAACATGCCCCCTTCAATTACTCTAATTGCAAGAAGGCCCTTTATTTAAAATTTACATATTGTCCTCTGGAAAGTAATTGCAGACAGGGGCCTCCAATTTCAGAAATTACGAAAGAGGCCCCCGTCCCAAATTCACACCCAAATTGGAAGAATAAACCCTAGATCCAACACCTCCTTCCTTATTTCTTCTTGGCGACGTCGGCAATGACCGGCGTGAATTCCAAATTGCAGATGAGGACCTCAAATAACTCAAATTACTCTTGAAGCCCCCGTCCCCAATTCGAATCTGAAACCCTAAAATTTTTTTTTTCTTTTACTTCTTCTCTTTTTCTTCTTGGCGACGCCGGCAATGACCGGCGCTAGCAGCAGCGCCCGCTGCCATAATTTTTGGCAGCAGCAGCGTCGCAGGGTGCGACGCTGCTGCGTACGGCGCTGCCATCAACCGCCGGGCAGTGCCCGGTGCTGCCCGACGAGAACAGCGCCAGCAAGCGGCGTCCAACGCCGCCGGCAGTTTTCCCGATTTTCAGATTCCAATATTTTTTTTTTCTCGATCCAAGAACTGATTTTTGAAACATTGAAAAAATAAATTCTTGACAAATTGCTAGAAACAAGAAAACATTAATAATCAACTTTTGATTTCAATAATATGCAAATCAATTTCTAACAAACACAAAGTAGGCTCTGATACCACTGTTGGGAATCTATTTATTCATGCACAGTGGAAAATTAAATTACTTCGATTCCCATCCAATAGATCTCATTGTGTTTGGTTAGGAATTGTGATAAGATTGTACCTTTTTCAGATCTGCAATCCTTTTGCTTTTCTTTTCGTTTCACAACTTTGATTCGCCACCACAGCTGTCCAATTGTCCAGCCTCCAACGGTGATCCACACAGAGAAAATGATTGCAGCCTCTAGGGTTTCCTCTTGTGCTAGCAAGAATAATGAAAACCTTAATGGACCTCAAACCCTAGTTATGTATTTATATAAACCCAAACAGGCTCGGCCCGGTCCGGTCCAATAATTAATTAATCCAATTAATTAAACCCGGTCCGTGAATTAATTAATCCAATTAATTAATTCGAAAATATAAATAACAAATCCAATTAATTAATTTATCCAACGATTGTTAAATTAACCAATTGGCAATTTGCAATCTTCCAATTCTCTTTTGTGTGTGACCCATTAAGTTCCCGACCACGACTGCCATCAACCGTCGGGCAGTGCCCGGTGCTGCCCGGCGAGAGCAGCGCCGGCATGCGCGCGTCCAATGCCGCCGGCAGTTTTTCCCGATTTTCAGATTCCAATTTTTTTTTTCGGTCTAAGAACAGATTTTTGAAACATTGAAAAAATAAATTCTTGACAAACTGCTAGAAACAAGAAAACATTAATAATCAACTTTTGATTTCAATAATATGCAAATCAATTTCTAACAAATACAAAGTAGGCTCTGATACCACTGTTGGGAATCTACTTATACATGCACAGCGGAATTTAAAATAATTTTCGATTCCCACCAAGAATCGCCTTTGTGTTTAGATAGAAATTGTGATAATATTGTACCTTTTTCAGATCTGCAATCCTTTTGCTTTTCTTTTCGTTCCACAACCTTGATTCGCCACCACAGCTGTCCAATTGTCCAACCTCCAACGGTAATCCACACAGAGAATATGATTGCAGCCTCTAGGGTTTTCTCTTGTGCCAGCAAGAATAATGAAAAACATATGGACCTCAAACCCTAGTTATGTATTTATATAAACCCAAACAGGCTCGGCTCGATCCGGTCCGGTCCAATAATTAATTAACCCAATTAATTAAACCCGGTCCGTAAATTAATTAATCTAATTAATTAATTCGAAAATATAAATAACAAATCCAATTAATTAATTTATCCAACGATTGTTAAATTAACCAATTGGCAATTTGCAATCTTCCAATTCTCTTTTGTGTGTGACCCATTAGGTTCCCGACCACGATGTCTAACGACGTGAAATATTATTTTGACCTAATCAAAATTGATAAATTAAAACCCCCTTTTAATTTATCGTCAATTCACATTCGCCGTCCCTGATTGACATCTAGCAATGTGTCAGGGCAATACATGTGACGGAAAATGTCATGTGGTATGACAAAACCAAATTCGTTCGTTTACCGTGAAACTATAATCCCTTCGTCAATATGATCCGATCAATTACGAGATATGGAGTTGTGTCAATCTCGATCATCGATCATATCTTTCACTCCGCTATTAAATCAATATAAGTCGAAAACTCCTTTTCAACTTATGAGTACACCTTGGCCAAGGATTTGATCATCGACTTAATTGAATGAAACGCAGATCATAATCTCCTACTATCTAAGAGTGACGAATCCTTTATTGATCAATCACAACCTTTATACGATTCTTGACGTACCCGAACGACGTCGTATTAGCGGCCCTTTTCAGAGCAACATCCAACACCGTCAAAGTATGACTGTCCTCATATAAGGTACTATGACGACCTCAAGTCAAAGGACCAATTCCACTACCGAACGTTAGAGATTAACCATTGACACTCAGATAGTTATGCATGTGGAATCTCTCGACGGGTCTCCAATGTTTTGTTCTATAACAAAAACATCCACGTGTTCATTTAAGTGTCACCACACTTTAGCTTGTGAGATCAGCCACTTACTTCACAAGTAAGAAATGCCACACGTGATGGTCTATCCGTAATAACGATATCCGTATCTCGTTATTACTTACGACCACGGATGATTTAAGATTCAATCAGATGTAATTTGTATCTCACAATCACGACTCCTTGTGATTAACAAATTACAAATTTTTGAATCTACGGACTCTATTATTCATTTAATTGTCTATTAATTAAATAATAGATCTGCTATTTAATTGCATTAATTACATGTAAAAGTATTTATGTCCAAAATTGATTGGACCTAGGGCATAATACTTATACACCCCACCTGATCCCCCTTCTCCATTTTTCTCCAACAACAAAGTGCTGCCCGTCGTGTCACTGGACAAAACCAAGACATGTTCTTCCTTCTCAAACACCCACAAAAAACCAAAACCCACCATCCTACGGCCACGTCCAAACACAACCTAAAATCATCAACTACTAGCCATCATTTGATTTTGAAAAAAATGGAAAAGAAGAATGAGAAAATGAAGAAGAACAACAAAAGAACTGCTCGAGTTTGTTGGTAAAACTCAAAACTGAACAGTAGCCGGCTGCCAATTATAATTTGCCTTCCGACAAAATATAATTTTGATTATTTGGGTAGAATTGAAGTAATTGATTCACCAAATGGGTGTGGATTTCATTATTACTTATGTCTATTTAAGTAAATTTATATATGACTTAAAATATAGTAAAATTTTATTTTTAAAAGTGGATATACTTATAAAAAGCGTGAATGTAAATAGAGCTAACCTAATTTTATTGATAAGCCGACAACCAATGCCACGTAAGCATTTGACAAGTCTCCAAAAAAAAAAAGAAAAAAGGGGCATTGCACTCGAGAATCTTGTGCACAATACTTTACTGTGGTCACTCCACTCCACAGGCCTTAGCACGTAAATACACTTTTTTCACATACTTTTCTTCCCCAGAAACCAGAAAATTATTACTGGGTTTGAAAAGTAATTGATGAGGGAAGTGTAGAAATGGAGGGTGTAGAGGAGGAATTGGAGAGAAGGAGCAAGTTTTTAAACAGTTTGATACAAAAGAAGAAGAATGTTGAGAATAATCGTATGAATGTGCGTGTAAGGGCTTCAGATATGCCCTTTTCTTTGCAAAATCATGCATTTAGGATTGCCAGAGATAATCTGCATTCAATGGCTTCTGGGAAGGTTGACAGTAAACGCCTTGCTCTTGCACACAAGAAGGTAGTAATGAGGGTATTTTTACTGATCATACTGTACGCTTATTTACTCAACTGCACATCTTTTAGGTGTATTTGGATTAGATGACATATATTAGTTAAGAACATTAAATTCTATTAAGACGTGGATTCTATCTTAAGAGGAGTATTTCAAATTCTTACAAGTTAGCATATGTTTTCATCTTGATTCTACGTGGAATCTTATTTCTTAACATTCCTCCTCAAGAAGGTGGCTGCCTGCTCATTTTTTGAATTTTAATCGAACTGGATTACTCGTTAGAATTTAATAGGCTCTCAAAGACTCAAGTCGACCTTATTAAGAACAATAATTCAAATCGTTTTAGGTTGGTCTATATTTTCATTTTTATTGTATGTAAGATTTTATCCCTAATTAACAAATTTTGGTACCCTATCAAAGACATAGGTCAACCTTATTAAGAGAAGTAACCCAAATCCTTTTAAGTGTCTAAATTTTTATTTTATTCTATGCGAGATTTTATCCCTAATTAACAAATTCTAGGTAAAGTTATAACCCAACCCTCCCCAACCAAAAATAAATAAAAAAGTGAGAGAGATATTAGATCGTCTTAATATTCTTGCAAGAAGATTATTTAGGAGTTTTTCTCACAAGAAATGCTGCTCTGCCTGGCCTTGTACTGGCCCACTCACAAACAAGGGCGGGGTGGATATTTTTGGGTATTTTTTTAATAATGTTGGACCCCTTATTTGTGAGAGAGCCTATACAAGGCCTGGTAGAGCAGCATTTCTCTTTTTTCATATGCAGAAGTGATCGTGACATAGCTACGACACCTAGGGTCTACTGCTATAAATCTATATAATTGCTTCTATGGGTTTCTGGTTGTTTTATTTATATTGCTCGAGTTAACGAGTAGGGCTTAATTTCTACGTCATTCAAGACAAAAGGATTGGAAAATGGGTTGCTGTTTTCTTTAGTTAATGTTTGTAGTCATTTCTTTAGGTAAAGAAAAATATGGCAAAGTAGCTGATATTTCTATCATTTGGGTGGGATTAAATATATGACAAGGTTACCCGATATTGTAATTATTGTTGATCAGCACGAATAATAGATGGCCCTGCAAGAGTGTATCATAGAAGAATATCTCGTTAGGATGGTTGAGTGGCTTTTTCCTTTTAATTGTTGATTAACCACAATATATTTGCAGATGGCCTATTCCTATTATGTTGGAACTGTTCTTTATGATATTCAAATGTTCTTAATATTTTCTTTACAGACAGTAATGTATAATTTCAAACCTACCTCAAATACCTAAAATGTGTGGACCATAAGTCTGCATATATAATTTCGTCCTAAATGTACGACGTAGTTTTTATTTTCTCATTAACTATATGAATAATGTTAACCCTGTTCTTTGGTTCAAAATTTATTTTCCTCTGCTCCATTCCTAGGTCAATTGAATAGGCTGAGGCCTTGGCATTATGACCCTACCAACTACTTCAGCGGGGCTCGGAGGGAAAAAGCAAGTCTCTTTTCTGGCTGACTTACAGCCGGGAGGTCAAGGGAGGCCTTTTGGTCTGCTTGTCGCACACTACTAGCCGCGAGTCAATCAAAGACGAGTCTTAATTTTGGGAGTAATGAAATGCGTTATTAGTAGATATCATCATCGGTCTAAGTGATATTGGTTCCCATGATTAATGATCCAATAGACTTGTGATACATTTTAATGAATTGGACAATGAATGAAGGGGTTTACTGTCACCTAAACCAATGATGATCTCTATTAATAATGAATAACATTATTCAAAATTTGAACTTCTAAATTAGCTTGAAGTATATCGTGAACAATCAGGTTGGGTTTTGCGTGTGTGCCTTTCATGGTGGTCAAATCGATTCCTTAAGTGCGGAATTTTGCCGGTTTACCGTGGTATGCTTCAGAAAAATTGTGACTTCCCGTGAACAAAAAGGATAGAAGTAAATATGAGTAGTATGATGTCAAATACGATATGTTCTTCTAATGTAATTATTCCAAAATCCTATGCTCCACTTGAAGCAGAAAATATTAGTCTCCATTTCGAAAGAATTTATAAATGATATAAATAAGTAGTGAATAAATGGGTAGTACTTGCAGTTTCATTAAAATGTGTAGTTGAAAATGAAATTTGATCAATTGTTAATTAACTTTCATAAATAAGCCAAATGGAGGCTTAATTAGGTATCAGTTACGATAGGAGAAATTACTATTCCTCCTTGTTGTCTCTTTGTTTTGCACCGGTGCCTTTTCTCTGTAGTTTCGGGGAATATGCTTTTGTGCTTGAGTTACGATGAATCAACTGCTTACGACAAACTTCTGTTCACCTTTCCAGGAGTTCGACTCAACGTATGGTCCAGCTTGGCATTGCATTGTGGGAACTAGCTTCGGCTCATATGTCACCCATTCTGTAGGAGGATTTTTGTATTTCTCAATGGATAAAGTCCACATTCTTCTATTCAAAACTGTTGTTGAATCTTTAGACCTTTGACCCTGCGTGGTGGAATATCAACTGGTCTGTACTTTCTAAAATGCGAAATTCCAAACAACAGATTTTTTATTAGAAAAATGGAATGCATGATTCTGTTTTAGTTTGTTTTGTGTTTCTTGTATCTTCAGCAACATTTGAAATTTATTGTATGGTTGTCAATTTCTTTTACATGGAGAGGACATTGATTGTTCATTGGACTGGACGCGACTCGATATAATTCGTCTCAATAGTGCATGTTCGGTACTTTTGAACTTCTATACCCTCATCTAATCCTCTTACTAAACATGTCATGAATTGAATTGAATTGCAAAAATTATCACCAATCTCCCTAATGACTTAATATTTAGAAGCAATCAATCGTGCCAATCAGATCCCTAATGACTTAATATTTAGAAGCAATCAATCGTGCCAATCAGATCATGATGTTACCACGTTCATTGATATTTAGCTCCCGTTTATCTCTCCTTCTTTCAGAAGTCTTTTTTCTACATACTTATTTTCAACCATACATTCGCACGATAAAATATTCTACACGTATACCCAAAAAATTTCCTACTCTTTAATGACACATTCTCCAAAAAAAATACTGTTTAAAACAATGTTTTTCCAAAGAAAATGGCCACCAAACAGGGCTTACTATGCTTGAAAAATGAAATTCAGGTTCATATGCAGTCAAATATACCCACTTGCATCATAGCTGGCGAAACACTGATAGCGAATAGATGGGATAACACTAGATGGAGATGTAAATTGCTTTTCAGCGTCATTGTACTTGTAAAATATAAATATTTGACCATTTGGAAGCTAATGAAGTTTATTCCAATTGTTCCTGAAATTTATTTATTTACGTATAATGAAAAAGAGTCTGTAGTTGCATTCAGAATTCTCATATGTGAAAACTCTATTAAGTTAAAACACTGCAGAGCTTGGTTCGAATGTTCGAATTTATATATTAAACAATTATATTACAGACTATTTTGCGACAACAGAACTATAAGCTTACTAGTTTAGCTAACGGCTCCAATTGAGATCTCAGATATTGTCGCTGGTAGACACAGAACTAGAGCTCACACCAGAAATACCATCGGACTGTAGGATACCACCCTCAGCAGCATTCTTACTGAGGCTGTATGGTGCTGAGTTCATGACCCTGCATAAATATGCCGATTGAAGAAATTGATGATTCAATATGGAATATATTTATCGAAAGAGTAGCAGACAAATCAAAACGCAAACTAAGGGAAAAAAAAAATGTTTCCTCGTACGCATATAGAAATTATGACGTATAAATTCAAGAATAGAAAACGTTAAACGGAATTTCACAATTGGAACCAACAGTTTACCTCTCCCTACGTTTCTCCAAAAATCGAGCCAGGGATGCTTTGCGTGCCTGCGGAACAGCTGAAAATAATAATAATAATAATAATAAATAAATAGATAAAAATAAAGGCCTTCTTCAGTACAGCATTTGAACAGTCATATTGCTGGTGGTTACTGATTAGAAGCCCATTCCCAGGGATTAGGATTTAGAAGTCGTGGCACTACAAAGCTCAAGCTATATTTCCAGGAAAATTCAAAAATGCAATCTTAAGAGTTTTAGCGCGAGATAGCACAAGTATTTTATGATCCCTAAATAGTTCAAGAATTAAAACCTATTCCCCAGACAATCTAAGATGTAGAAATAACAGGACCAAGGAAAAATTATGAACTTCTGATAACGTCACGAGCAATGTAAGAAATATATGCAACAAATGTCGATGAAGGTGAACTTAAAGGATGAGTTCTGCAATCAGTAAGAGCTCAGGCATTTTCAAATGAAGTTATGTAAAATTGGCAAAAAGATTATCTACTTGCTGATTTGCATAATGTACCTGATGATATCGTGGCAAATGCAGAAACAGATCCTAGTGATGGAACCATTCTTGGAGTGTCCACTTTGCCATCAAGAGTGGTTAAGATGCCAACGGTGTTAGATACCTCGATATTATTCTTGTTAGCAGACACACCCCCAGACTGATCAATAGGGTAAGAGGAAACAGACATAGGGCTCGAGACACCCAAGCTAGATGGTTTACTTATTGTTTGGTTGATCAATTCCCTATTTGCAGTTGCGGGCTGAAAGTTAGGTGCTTGAAGATGAAGTTTTGGTTGAGCAAATCCCCCATTTCCAGCCAGAAGCATTATAGCCTGAGCCTGTAACAGTGTCCGTTGAACAAGAAGTGAAATATTAAATAACTTTCTCCAATTATATTAATTTATGAAAGGGAAATTCTGCTGCAAACAGAGAGAGAACCTTCTCAGGGGGGATACCATCAAAGACATTCACCGTTCCAGCATAAAAGATGGTCAACTGGGCAGGAGCATCAGAAGTCTTGGAATCAACCCTAAATCAAGTAAAGCATAGCAAACAAAGTTCTGATTTTAATATATTAATATCACCTTGCTTCATCCCTTCATCAGAGTAATTTCAGATAATAATCTTAAACTGTAGTGCTGATATTTTAACTACAGGCATACTATTGTTAGGATAGTTGCAATTATTATTTGCATCAAAATAGCCATATATTTAAGAATTTACACATGCAGAGATAATTCAAGTTAATGTTGCTGCAAACCATTGTTCAGTTGTCCCAGTCGCCAAAACAGTAGGACGAATAGAATGAGGCGATAAGAGAGGAACTCCACCAAGAAATCGCTGCGTCGAGGTAGCATCCAAATAATTCTGACCAACAGACGTAAAATGAGTTTTGCAAAAAGGTTTCAACGCGGAAAACTGATGCAAGTTCACATCATGGGCAGCATTCACCGAGAATTCACTCTGCTGCACAGAATAAGCTGGCAATGTAAACGAGAGCCTGGTATCCAACAATATTTATGCATGTATAAGATAATGAAAATTGTTGAGGGGAGTTCATAAAAACGGGATTATAGATTAAAATATAATATTTGTATGAGACTGGAAGATAAAGGAAACAATGCCATGATTCCAATTTATTAAGGTCAGCTATTTGAATCGTTTTCACCACTCCATTCAATTCAATGCATTTACCTTAGGTTAGTGGAATTTAACATTATCGTATATCATTTTGCATCCAAATGCATGTGTTACTTATAAAAACCAAGACGATGCATAGAGAATTGGAACATTTCGCTTTCATCAGGACCATTCTCAAACAATCCTAAGCATGCATCAATAGCTAACAAGATAAAGAGGGAACAATTACCTTCAACACAGGGCAAGTTTAAGTCATGCAATACAAGGTCACTCAAATATGAGACAAAATCAAACCTGGATATTTCTTGATAGTTGGTTGTGGCTGACATCAAATATGTCTGCAGCAGATTTAGCTGTATATCCAGAAGGTGCAAGAGGATCAGACTTGAGTTTTGGCAGTTTTTCATCATGCTTAGATTTCAAGAACATAAAATGAGGGAGAGTAGACACCATGTACGGGAATGGCCAAGGAACTCCTAAAGTCTTGGTACTTGCTTTGATCCAAATGATATAGAAGTATATACAGAAAACCCTAATTAGTATGGACAAAAATCACAGTATAGCAAAAAATTGTGTTCAAAACATTATATAATTACACAATTTATATATTGACACTTCTCCTATTATGGCACCAAGAAATAGAAATGAATTATCAAAAATTCATTTGGAATATGAGTTTTTCATTAAGAAACATTTCTTTCCTATCCAATTTCGATATCGTGGGAGACTAATATAATACAGTTCTCCTCTTTCACAGAAGAAGGGGGGGGTATCCATTGAAGAGCTTAATCAAAGAATAAAGTAATTTAAATATGTTCATGTCAGATTTGTACAGGATGAAAGTTATGTGCATTAACTTCAGGCTTCCTGGTTATAGGGGGTATAAATAAAATTACATATCTGATTCACCAATGGCAGACACTGTGCCAAATTGCTTACCAAATTTCAAAAGAAATATAAATTTCTCATGGGCCTGTGGCTCTTAGCATACAAGGAATTGAATTATTCTCTCAGATGACAAATTACGGTTCAAAACACAAAGGTGGGACTTATTCTGCTTCCTAAAACGATAATCAAACTTATACCTACTCATTTGATGGTGTTTTTTATGAGATTTATAATTTACAGCTACATCAATGTTTCTTTAAGGAACAGAATCACAAGGAATTTTTATTTGTCACCTAAACATGCCAAATTCAGTGAATACATAAGTAATTCGAGCCAAAGGACAAAATTCAAGGCCGTGTCAACTATACATCAAAATACAAACAAAGTATAATTAACTTAGCTCCCAGAACAGGAAAAGGAAACTGCACCCAAATAATTTGACATAATAATCAATATATATTCGATCTTACTTTCCAAATCTGAACAGAAATATTAAATTTGGTAAATTATCTAATTTCAGATAAAATCCTCCACCATTTTGCATGTTATTTCACTCCAACATAACATAGAACAGAAATAAAAAGCGTGTTTGTGGATGTGGGGGGTCCTCAATAGTGTACAAATCAAATTTATACGAATATTTGTATTTGCGCGAGTGTGAGCATGTGAGAAGGAGAAATCACCATTATCGTTGCCGTCTTCAACAATTTCTTCCTTAACTACAACATCTGAATCCTTAGAATTCAAACCCATGAAGTCTCTCTCCATATCTCAGATTCCAAAGGAGTATTGACCAAATTCAAGGAAGAAATAAAAAAAAATACAAAATTGACAAGGATCAAACAGAGCTTAAAGCTCTCTTTCTTCTATCAAAGAAAAGACCCAAAAGGCAATTTATATGAGAAGAAACCGTTCAGAGAGCGAAAATGTTCCTAGCTTCAATGCTTCCGATTGCAGCAATTTGGGGTGCATCTCTGTGTGTTGGTGGGGGCATGGGCCATGGGGATAGCGCGATTTTTATTAGATTATTGTATAAAGCGGGTTACTCTGGTTAGCCGCCTGGGCAGCGGCTGCCCAACGCCGGCGCCGGCAGCAACTGTTGCTGCCAGCACCACCTTTTTTTTTTTTTTTTAGTTTTTTTTTTTTTTTTTTTTTTTTTTTTTGGGTGCATGTTTGGAAAGTGATTAAAAATTTAGGCTTCCGAGAAATATGTGAATAATATTTATCCCTTGTTTGAAACACATTCTTCTAAAAATTCATTTTTTCAAAACTCATTTTTCAATTATACATTTTTCAATAAAATAATATTGCACGCAAGTCCAAAATATTTTCTTAATTTTTAATTAGACATTCTTCATTAATTTACTATTCAAAATGTATTCTTTCACCAAAAATTGGGCACAAATAAGGGCTTAGTATTAATCGTGGATAGTAAATTAAGAACATATAAAATTAATTTAGAATATAATATAATCACTTTTTAAACATCTGTGATTTCAGTCGAAACCCAATTGTGAGTCAACAAAAAATTGCAAGGGTATATAAAAATCTCAAATTATATGATGGTGAGGGTCCTCTTATTTGCATGGAGCAGTCGAAGCAATGGCGAAGTCAAAATTTTGAAAAAATGTTGAAGGGAGAAAATATACATGTATTTTGTATATAATTAAAAACAAAAAACAAAAAACAAAATTTCTACATAAATTTGAAGAAATTTTCAAAATGTTAAGGGTGCCATTGTACTTGAGTACGAGGAAGGCTTTGTTGGCAAAGCCGGTCCTGTGATTCTCGAGGCCTGAGGCGAAGTCTGGAAATTAGGCCCCCAACGAAATCAGCGTAAATACAAACTTCAACAATGTATTATACGACCCATTACTAACTTAAAAAACTAACATTAAAATAACAACCAAATAAACAATCATATAAGCCGACCATGCTGCAATTATATAAGCCGGCAAGGCTTCAAACATTTTCAATCTCTAACATAGCTACTTAGAGCAAGCCATTGCTTATCTGAGAAGTGGAATTTTGATGAAAATTTTGGAATTACACATTTGAGAATGATCCCTTTTTCTGAACTGGTAGTAAGCTGATTGCAATTTGAAGAAATTTTTGGATTGTGTCAACGATACTGTAACATAGCAAAAAGAAACATGTAAGAAAATAACAAGTATACGATGGATTAAAATGAAAGAAATAACAAGAATATGATGGACAACAAAAATGAGATGGTAAATCTAAACTCATGAACAAATAGCAGTATAGTATGCTTAAGGAGGGGACCAGGAGGGTGCACCCTGAGAGTTTCTTTAACAATGGCTAGAAGATAGGGCAAATTAGGAAGATCAGAATCAGTCACTATTTTATTAGTCCCAACCATAGTGTCAAGTTCAAATTGAACCTTGGCTTGAATATCAGGATGAAGAACCATTCTAGCCAGTATCCATTCCAAAAGAATGGCCACAGTATCAGTCCCTCTAAAAATCATTTCCTGTAACAAAAAAATTAAAAAAAATATTCTAGTTTAGTTTGTTCACTGAACAATGCAAGACACAACACGAGACAAGATGGGACATAGAGTGGTAAATATCAGTGTTACTATCAGCTGGCTAAAGGGTGCAAAAAAATTATTCAGATTCCCATATCTATGCATATCCATAAAAGAAATTTTAGTGCTAATCACAAGTGTACACTGTGTAACTCCAAATCATGGCAAATTGATATGAAAATATACCAAAATAAAGCAAACCCACAATTAAATGCCAGAAAATTAAAAGATTATACAAACGCATGCATTTATATAAAAACATAAAATCATAAAAATTACCTAAAGAACAGCAATCATGTCTGAATCAGACAGCATGTTTTTCTTCTCCAAATCAAGCAAAACATCAACAAAATCATCGGAATCTGCTACTCATTCACACCAACTTTAAACATATTCTGAAATTACTTTAAGCACTAAGTCATTCATAAATATAAAAAATTTTGGGATTTGCTAAAGTGTCCAGATTGGCAAATTTCTGCCACCAACAGTATGGGCGTATGGTATGGACCGTATGGTGTAGAACTACCAAGTCCAAGTGAAGAGGCAACTCAAGAACAGAAGAGCTGCAGACTTGAGACTTCGAACGAGTTCTCAAAGATTTTGGGAATCACTGACCTGAAGGAGACGACACTGAGGCAACGACTCACGAGCAGGCTGCTATATTTCAGATTTTGGAAATTTTTTATTGTATTTCAGAATCAGGTTTTGGCCCTTTGGGTCGGCAGGCATTGCTATAAAAAAAATAAAAAATAAAATATTGTTGGGCCAAAATTAGGCCCCCTGCGGTCCTGGGCCTGAGGCGCCAGCCTCATTGGCCTCGGCCCAGGATCGGGCCTGCAGTCAACTAACAAGTTTAGTTAGGTCCACACTCCACATTACTATCTTGTTTGGTAGCCGATGCTATATATTGGGATAGTCGAATTGATGCATCATCTCAATCGGAGTGCATGTTGAGGTCAAATTTCATGGCCTATACAAGATGCTATAACTTGTTATAGAGAAAATCCTACTTCACTTATTTCAAGAATTTTTTTATACAAGATCTTTCTTTGATTGATTGATGTGACATTTATATAACAGGCATCAATTCACCCACCAAAAAATGAAAAGCTGAATTGCTTAATGCATAGAAATAAAAGCATTTGGACTAAAAGTGTCATAGAATTCATAGGTTGCTGACTATGGCTGCAATTTATCATTACTATATAATTACAGCAATATGAAAGAAAATGAACAATCATTTTAACTCAAATCCACTAAAATTATTCACTTTGAATCCCCTCGCTTAGTCGAACTAAGCTCTACTATTAACTAATGAGACTTATATAGAGTACAAGTATCAAATACAGATAAAAAGAGTGTATGCGAGTAATCAAAGGAAAAAGCTATAACTATAACAGGAAAAAAAAATAGAAGAAGTTGCATCAAATCAAAAAATTGCAATCCCATGAGCATTCATGGCCCAAAGATCACCTGTGGAAGCCAGAAACACCAACAAAATCGTCTAATGAATGTATAATCTCACGTGTAATAGATGAGTTACACCAATAGAAGAAAATTGCGAATAAAAACATTGAGAACTTGGAAAAGTTATTCCATAAATTTTAGTCGAGTATAAAACGTTTATCGAAGAAGTTTTTTTTATAAAATTTCTAGTTCTCTTCCTCATTCGAGTGAAAACAATAACTACACAAGTTAGGATCCATGGAGGGATGCTACCTCCCAAGAAGTTCCGCTTTTTCATCCATTCTAGAGTCTCTTTCATAACCAAAATAATCATGCGAGGTTTCTGCCTAATGTAAAGGAGCTATGCCAATTTAGTAAAATGTCTCCCATTGAAAATGAAAAGACACCCTGACAACATAGTATAATAGAAGAAATAAAAAATTATAAATTAATAAAACAATTTCGTTTGTTAAGTGTATTTTGCACACTTATCTAGGTTAACAAATTGGAGTATTTGTTAGTGATTTGAGTGAGTTATAACTTAATTATGTGTTAATTATGTTTGTTTGGTTGAACTCAATGCAAAGTGGTGGAATTGGAAGAAATAAACAAAAAGGGGCAAAAATGAAAGAAATTTAAAATTTTGGGGACCAAAGTGTAAACATTCAATAGTTGGTTCAGACCATAAAATGGTGATTGAAGATTACATATGATCAATTGGATGCAATTTTAAGTCAAAGGAGTAAAATATTGTTGAAGTATTTTCACAAATCAATTTAAACCGAATAAGTTATGCTCCGGATTTTTAGCTTCAGTTTGAGATCCACTTTTTGGATGGCAAACATTCAAATTGAAAATATTGTTCTTCTAGAAGAATTGTATCCCTTTGAGTCAGATTTTCAACGCAATTTGAATCATCTCAATCTGATTTTGAAAAAGAAAGTTATAACCAAAATACCAAAAATTGTTTAGGGACGCCACCGCACAAACCAACTCCCACAGGGGACGATTCTAGTACACAGGAAAGACACTAAAAATTTGACCCTAAAGCACGTGCGCGATGGGTATGCTTGTGCGCTCAGGCTTTTTTCGTAGTTGAATTAGCAGTTTTCTTTCGCGATTCAAACTCTTTTGAAACTCAAATTGGACGCGATTTTCACCTATTTCTTGGCTTTTATAAATAGGGAACAAGGGTTATACGTTTGGGGAAAAAAAACCTCTCTTTCCTTTTCATACACAATAGTATCATCAAATTCATCAAGAAAAATGAACCAATTACTATATTTTGAAAGAGAAGATCAAGTCATAGCGAGAATCGAATTTCAATTACATCAAGAAATTGAAGAATTCAACTTTGGACTTGAAGACGACATCCTTTGTATTCTTTCACAATACGAGTGATATTTTTCCATTATTCTTCTTGTAATTTATTTAAGATCATGTTATGCTAAATCCCTTTTTGTATTGGATAAGATGAACCCTATTTGTTATTTATTTCTAATTCAAGGCTAGTAGTTTAGTATTTCTTGCGTTTATTGATTAATTTTTGCATACCCATTGCATTGTTCAATTGTTTTGTCACCAATTAAATAATTAGTTGTTTGTTGCAGTGTTGTGTGACTCACAATAAGCTTATAATGCAACAAAATTAACATATGTATAATAGATGTTAGAAATAACACTTATCACATGTGCAGTCATATAAATAATCTAAACTTAAATGCATTCTAACCATTCAAATTTGGGCTAGGAATAGATTCGAATCGTGGTTAGGATAAAATTAATTTGTCTTGAAAAAGAAAGTTAAATACATTAGCTTTATTGATTGTCATGAACGCATGGAAGTCTATCCATTTAATTGTCACTACATTTTAGCTTATGAGATCACTACTCTTTTTATAAGTACGAATTTCACACATGCTGATCTATCCACAATAATGATATTCGTATCTCATTATTACTTACGATCACATATAATTTAAGATTTAATTGTTTATAATTTGTATTTCACAATCACGACTTGTTGTATCGAACAAGTTAACAAGACTTGAATCTATAAACTCTATTTATTTAATTTATCAAAAAAATAATTCAATTAAATAACATATCTATCATATATAAAATGCATTAATCATACTAAAATTGTTTACATCCAAATTCGATTGGACTTAAGGCATAATACTTACAATTAAGACGTGGACTATTTTAGCTTATCGGTTAGCCTTTTATGTAGATCAAGTTGTCAAGCCATTTCTACTAGAGCGACTTATCTTCCATCATAATTTGAGAGAGAGAGAGAGAGTTATTGTAATAATAAAAAAATGACTTTGTCTTAAGTTGAATTTTGGATATGGTGAGTCCTTAGCTATGGGTGTACGAATCGTCCAATACCTGTGGCTCAACAATTTATGATACCATATATAATTTTTTATTTAATATGTCAAGATAGGTTAAAAGGGCTATCTCGAGCTTGATGAAACCTATATTTCTTGTTGCTTGCTCAAAATGGCTATTTCTAATCACACTTTAAACGTCTATAATGACTATGTTAGACGGTGTAACATCTAAGCCGAATTTGGCTAACGCAAATCCCTTTATGACGTATAATTTATATTTCTTCTGAAGTTGGTGACTGGATCAATACGATGAAAAGTGCCACATAACTGACTACATGAGCACTTTCGAAACCTCTTATCATTGGCTTTAAATGCATAGGATCATCGCAATTTACGTTGCGAAAAGTAACTAAATAGTGACCAAAGATTTTCTATCATCTATCGAACATTTATATATAAGGACAAATGACTATCGAAAAATAATTCTTTGATGTAATCATATAATATGAAAATGAACTTAGTGATGATAAAAGGCATTATTTATTCAAATATAGAGAACATGTCGAATATATTATTAGAGTAATTAGGTTGTGTGGAATTTTTTGGTAAGGAAATATTTGAGGTTCATATAAAAGGAAGAAAAAAGTGAAGTGAACACGGAATTTGTTAGTCAAGCGAACAAGAGCAAATTACAAAGTCAACTCTCCTATCAAATATATGGCAGAAATAATAGAACGCGTTATGTTGACCGATTCTAACTTCAAGCTTTGTTCCAACGTCCACTTGAGGTTCCTCTTTTGGGACCGGAATGTTCGACTTATTAATTTATCCGATAAATCACTAGGAGCTCATGTAATCCATGTCAAATGAATCATATTTCAGATCGAAACAATGAACCTATTTGAAATGGGCCAAATGC